TATCACAAGCCAGCATAAGTCTCCATCTCTGTTAGTCCACAACTCCCAGAGCCATAAAATCTAACCTTCCTAAATGTCCTTTTAGACAGCGAGAATCTATAAGAATGCAACCGATTAATGAGTAGCTCCGCTGGTGCAAAGGAAGCATATATCAGATCCTCTTCCAACAAAATTCTTCTCTTCAACGATCCAATAATCCGTCAACTGTTGTATCTTAGGTCCCTATCAGGTGAGTCAACCTTACCTATAAAGATCTCATATTGATGGAGATGCAGCCATGTAGTAAGTGAATGCCAACTCAAATACAACACAACAAACTCTACAAAATGAGTATCCTGTGGAAAACCACCTTAATCCAGAAGCCTAAGGTCTCAGGTAGCGGGTCAATAATGTATACTAAATTGCTACAAGTTTCTTCCTGATTCTTCACATATGGATAAATATAAGTGGGGTTAACAACAATTGATCTTCTTGAATCCCACAGCCTGAATATAATGCTACCATAATCTAACTCGATAAAGGGACTAAATGGAGAATAAAGTAATAAAAGAAAAAGTGAAAAATGATATATAGAAGAGGGGATCGTCTTCTTATACACTGTACCTAATTCATTAGGTACAAATATTTACATGAGTGCACAACAGGCAGTAAGTAGGTATTAAATTTGGATAAAGCAAGATAAGCTTAAAGGAAAAGATAATATATAAAAGGTCAGGTAGTTGGATCCTTGGTTTAAGGGCACTGAATGAAAGTAGCGTATAAGAGTCTCAAGCACTAAACATACAAAGAGAAGATCTTCGAAAGAATGGAACACTGCAATCTTCAGGCAAATATAACAAAACATAACAATGTAAACTAATCCAGTTCCTACTAAGGACATTCAGCGACTTATGATCAACTGCCATATTCTTTTATGTTAAACTCAGTCGGGCAAAACAACATCATAGAAGAAAATAATTTAGGGTCCCATCAACCTCTCCAGTTCATAAAGCTCATGCCAGAGGCAATAGTCTGAGAGCTCGTCTTCACCGCAGAACTATTAAATCCATGCAAAATAACAACAATCCATAAGTATCTATATCCAGATAAGGGGAAGGTTGGTCAATCAAAGTCATCCATTTTCTTTTTATTTTTTGTTTTCAGGTGGCGGGCGGAGGGAAGGTGGGGTAGGTTCGTTTACGATTTTTTCTTCTTCTTCTCCAATGATCAAGAGAATATGGACAAGCATCTGAGAAATATGTTTCCCCATAATTTCTTTATAGTTATATACAATCTACTCACTGTCTTCTTCCACGGGATGACGAGTAGGGTACGGTATTGACCAAATATTACAGCCTGTAATGACCTTGAAATAAACCTAAGACCTGGAAATCACTTGGCCAAGGAGATTCTGGTCAGAGAGGGATCGACATAACACTGAACAAAACAGAAGTCTATCAGCCTATGTTGAACTCTGACGGCAGGCACTCAGATTTTTCTAGAGATATATAATACATCTTGTAGAATTAAAGCCAGAAGAAGTCACTGCACGGAATAATTACTTTTAACATTCATAAGCCAGCCGCATTGAATGATAAACTCGGCAAATTTCAGGTGTATAAACACAGCTTGTAATCTTTAATTTATTCACCAAATGTGTTCAAAGTGATAATTTCTCCTCAATCAAACAAAAGCAAGCAAACAAGCACAAACCTTGAAAAAGCTGCAGCGTAATCAAAACAGTTATTGATCAGAATACGTGTAAAAATAAGGACAAATTTTCAAAACAAACTCTTTTGCAAATTTATTCCCAAAAAACAACCCATTTCTCTCTTATTTGTAAAAACCGACATGGTTTCAGCCTCAGCGCTGAAACCGGGTCGGTTTTTACAAAAGAAGTTCCGAAACTTCACGGGAGTTGAACTCCCGTGAAGTTTAGCAGCTTTTAATTAGGAGTTTAACTCCCATGAAGTTTCACAGTTCAAAAAATTTGTTTTTAACTAAGAAACTTCACGGGAGCTGAACTCTCAACTCCCATGAAGTTTAGCAGCTTGATTAAAAACTGCTAAACTTCACGGGAGTTCAGCAGCTTAATTAAAAACTGCTAAACTTCATGTGTACTCTCAACTCCCGTGAAATTTCGAAACTTTTTTTGTAAAAACCGACCTGGTTTCAGCGCTGAGGTTGAAACCAGGTCGGTTTTTACAAATAAAAATTAAAGGGGTTGTTTTTTGGGAATAAAATTGCAAAAGGGATTGTTTTGAAAATTTGTCCGTAAAAGTAATGCGATCTGGGTGCAATATTCATATTCAAACTGCATTTAAACAGCTATCCAACAATTCCAAGTCAAAGCAACATTAGTTTCCACCAATTCGATAGCTTAACCCTTTGAAAATCAAAAGACTACAAAAATTTAAAAAGAAAAGAAAAAAGAAAAAAAGAAAAAAAAAACCTTTTTACCCCCAAATTAACCTGCCATCGAGTGATTCGCAATGTACTCGATCGCAAGCGCAGTCGAATCAATCTTATGCGCCTTTTTATCCGGAAGCTCGAGCTTGAACTCCTCCTCCAACGCCATCACAATCTCCACATTGTCCAAGCTGTCCAGCCCCAGATCCTTCTGAAAGTGGGCCTCAGGCGTCACCTAAAACAAAAAAATTAGGGTTAGAGTTAGGGTTTTGAAGTTCGGATCATGAGATTTTTTTCGGAAATTTGGGTTGGGATTTTGGTACCTTTGAGGGATCGAGCTTGGGGAAGCTCTTGACGACGTCGAGCACTCATTCGATGACTTCTTCTTTCGTCAGGTGGTCGTCGTGGGAGGAGAAGGATCGGAGTGAGGGTACATGGCGGGAATTTTCCAGGGTTAGGGTTCGGATTGGGGCTCGGATGTGGCGGAGGATCGATTGTCTGAGGGCGGCCGCCATTGATCCCTTTCTGCTGCAGTCGCTGCGAGAGGGTTGGAAAATAGAAGCTTTGCTGATGTTTGAGGGTGAGAAGGGAAATTGCGAAGAAAAAGGAGTAAATTTCGAAAACAACAATGAACTTGGGGATTTTTGCACAAATTTACGAGAATTAATATCCCTAAATGGAAAATAGCTGACAATGTGTTTGGTTGGTGGCAATCGGGTCGGGTCGGGTCATAGTTGATCCGACTCGTATAAGTGTGACCCGACCTGTCCGTTTAATAAATGGGTCAATGCGATCCGACTCATTTATTAAACGGGTTACCCGACCCGACCCATATAACCCGAATGACCCGTTTATCAAAGTTCACTTCAATGTCGTTGATACTATATCTAACCGTTATCTGACAAACTAAAGACATTCAAATGGTTTGAATCAGAAGATCACTGCCTCCTTTTTAAGTACCTCACAGTTCACACACCAAATGAAGGATAATGTACTTGGGGAACATAGTTATGTACCCAGGGATACCAAGTGAATAGTTATGTACCCATGGAACATGATAGAGAAATATTCAAGATGCAAATAATATTCTAGGTCAAGTACAAATTGTTATCAATGGCCAAAATAGAACAGATACTAAAATGCAAGTCAATATTTGCACAACTCCTTAAAAATAAGATTCAATTTCAGGTTTATCGTAACGATTTTGCGACGGATATAACCGTGACGATATGCCTAATGCAACAATTTATTTAAAACATTGCATTGGCCTAATAATTGTTTTTGTGCTTTGGGAGCTTAAGTTTTTAAAGCTTGTTAGAATTTCAAAAGCAATAAAATTTGTCTACTGGTATTTTATGAGAGGGTATCGGGTTTAATATTTGAAAGCCCATCGCCCTGACCTCTCTCTCTCACAAATTGTCACAGAAATCCTAAGGCGAGTTCTGCTAAAATCGCCATGGCCAAAATTTTTCACTCCCTAAAATCATCATGGCCAAAATCATCATCTAATCATCGATCTCATCACTGAACTCGTTGCCGTTTTCATCTTGGATCTAATCTACAATCTCCTCTCCGATCTCATATTCGAGCTCGTTGTCATTGTCGTCGTCGAGATACTCTCGTTGCCATTCTCGTCGTCGAGCTACTCTTGTTGCCATTATCACCGTCGCTCGCCGCTCGAAGCCGCTTGCCTCCGCTTGTTCACCGTCACTCGGTCGTCACTGGCCTCTGCTCGTTGCCCTTGCTCGTCGTCGCTTGCCTCCGCTCGCCACCATAGAATCAAGCTCAGGTAGGGTTTCTGAAAGAATCAAGGTTTTGTGAGGATCGCTATTCATCTTCATATTTCGAGTCTGGACCGCAACCCATTTAGAATTAAATGGGTCAGTTATTGGGTTACACGGGCCAGTTCAGATCAACCCTAATTTACTCATCTAATTAACGGGTCAGTCCGACTGACCCATTTATGACCCGACCCATATAACTCGACCTGCACCTAATATAAACGGGTCGGGGTTGGGTTGATGGGTCCCGTTTATGACCCGACTCATATAACTCGACCCACACCCAATATAAACGGGTCGGTTTGATTGGTCGGGTCATAAATTTGTCACCCCTGGTTGAGGGATAGCCGACGATAATAGATTGCTCAACTTTATTTGTGAGTTTTTTTAAGGAAGATATGGAGTGTAGGAAAGTACAAATTTTTATAAAAATGTTATGGTTTTGTTCCCTTTCAACTTGGACATAGAAGAGAGTAAAAACAATCAACTTAACATATTTAATATTTGGCGCTCTATTGCTATATTATTACGAAACTATTTTTTACATATCCTTTCTTTAGTTAGAACTTTCAAGCATGATGAACTAGTGTTTGGGAGGTTACTTGAGAAAGAAAAGGAAAGGTAAAATAGGAGAAGAAAAGATTGAGAATGAGAGGGCAAATAGAATATCTTATTTGGGAGTTGGGTATGGAGGATAGAGGGAAACATAGAATTGGGGACCTCATACTAATTGCAATAAATAAGGGAGTAATTTAAAAATAAAAGATTGAAAAGGGCTTATAGGCAAAAACGCTGAACCGGTTACGAGTAAATCCTACACCCCACCCGTTCGTAGTTCATCGTTCTCTTTGTATATTGCTGCTAAAATCTTAACTAGGGTTAGGGTTTTCGATTTCTCTGCTTCAATGGAGATCTTGGGATCAGAAGGCGTGCTCTCCTCATGCTACAAGCTCGTTCCTTGGTCGAGCTGGGACCAGTGGCACTTCGTTAGAGAATCCCTCTTCTCCTCTTCGCCCGATTCAGTGGCCAAAGCTCTCCAAAGGGTAACGATCCTTGTCTCTTTGGGCACAATCTCTAAACTAAACCTTGTTTAAAAATTTTTTGGTCCCTTTTTGTTTCAGATTAGCGCCTGGAGGTGTAGAGGTTGCCTCCCCATTCCCATTGATGTGACCGCTGCAATTGTGGAAATTCAACAGAAAGATCCCTTCTTCAGGTAAAAGTCGATAAGTTGTAATTAAAATTTGTATATATGATATAAAAGTGAGGTATTAAGTTGAAAAAAAGAGGAAATTTGGATTGAGTAACGCGCTTTATTTTTACCATTGTTTGATCCTGTTTAGCTGTAGAATGGACTTTTAAATTTGTTATTTTATAAACCAGATTTTGAATGTTATGTTGTGTTTAATTGTGCAGAGAAGGGATTCCCAGTGATGCTCTAAACTCGGAGGAGTTGTTAGCGATGCTGTACTCTATGGCGATTATAAGGTGTTTTTCAATTTACACTGTAGAAATTTATAAATTAATTTTTATTTTTATAGTGAATTGATGATATTTTTTGTACATGGATTTGGTTATTGTAGTATTTGTGCGAAAACGGAAGAGAAAAGCATGATGGGTTTTTGAGGGGGCTCCGGTAATGGGATGGTGGTTTTTTCTTTTCTGTGTTGTGTTTTCTCCAAGAGGAGACTAGTCTATGTATAGAGGCTACACTCCATCATCTCCACCCCCTCAAAGACTGCCTAAATATCTGAGACCTCAAAGACTGGTTAAATATCTGAGAGAGATATTTTTTCAAACAACCCACTGCCCATTATCCTCTTAACAAAGTATCCTCTCATCGAGCAATTAGTGGTTGAATTGGTCACTAATTTGAATGGGTCAAATAACATCTCCCACTTGACCAATTAAACTAAGTGATATGCCTCACACTATCCGTGAGATCAGATGTTTCTTCTCACCATTACTCACACTATTCTAGAGAGTAACTTTTATTTCATTATTCATGAAATTTTACTTAGACTTATTTATTCCTAAGTTCCATCAAACTTACATGTTTGATAAAGGATTCCATTGGTATTCCTTTTGTCAAAGGACCGGTAGTCATATTTGTAGTAGGGATATAAGTCATTTTAACTTCTTCATTTTCTACAATATCTCGAATATAGTGATATTGGATCTTAATGTATTTTTCTTTGGAGCTATTCGTGTCACTATTGATCAAGCTAATTGCTACTTGATTATCACAATAAATATCAACAAGTCCCTTTAAAAAATTGAGATCTAAATCAATCAAAAACCATCTTATCCAGACAGTATGTGTAGTTGCCATATTGCAAGCTTTATATTCAACTTCTTGTGTATATCTAGCAACACACCCTTGTTTCTTGTGTGTATCAACACACCCTTGTATTTAGCAACACACCCTTCCAGTGGGTACAGTAGGGGTAGCTAGAAACTTAGTGGAAGCAGGTTCATGTAAGAAGCAACTACTTTGGGAAGTGAGAAATAGAAACTTTTGAGCTATTTGGGGAAAAACATTAAGAAAAGGGTAATGGTAGGGGCAGGCTCACGTGATGGCTGTTGAGCGAATTAAACAACCACACAAATAAAAAGAACTTGGCTAGTGGAAATCACGTGTGAGGTTTGGGAGTAGCTCAAAGCTTTCCTTTTCTTGGGAAGAGGGTAGGTGAGAGAGGGAAAGCTGTGGGTACAGAAACATTTATGGCCATAAAAGGGTACATGTAACTCTTTAATTTAGAAGAGAAAGGTAGCTACTGGTTTTAGGGAGGTAGATATAAACCATTGGACAACTAGCTCTCACACCAGTGCGCGAAAATGGAAGAGAAAAGTATGATAGGTTTTTGAGGGGGCTCTGGTAATAATATTGAGGTTTTTTCTTTTCTGTGTTGTGTTTTCTCGAAGAGAAGACTACTCTATATATAGAGGCTACACTCCATCATCTCCACCCCCTCAAAGACTGCCTTAATATCTGAGAGAGAGATATTTTCTCAAACAACCCTACCTATTATCCTCTCAACAAATTATCCTCTTGCTGATCAATTAGTGGCTGAATTGATCACTAATTTGAATGGGTTAGATAATAGTATTTAGGAAGATCGACGCTACTTGGAGATTATTTTTTGATCTAGTCATTATAAGGTTGATTTTGTGTTATTCTCTCCTCTTTTGGTTATGTCTTGGTTATTGGATTTTGGTTTGCACGTGGCTAAACTGCAGAATAAATCATTTATCTTGTACATGGCATATGTCTTGACTGCTGATGGTGGTATACCTAAGCTTATTTTGTTTTCTCATCTTAGTTGAACAGGCATCGAGATGCTTGGGGTAGCTGTACAAATTGAGTAGTTTTCTTTTTTTCTTCAACTTCTTTCTTTATAATGAAAGGTCCTTTTTTATAAATTAGAGCGTTAGGCATGTGTGATGCTGGAATATACTTCCTAAATTATATAAGAATGACACATATGTATAAGTCTTACTGTGCTCTTCGAAGAGATCCTACTTGGAACTTCAGGGACCTTTATAACTAAGTGTCTGCTTACTTGTCTAGATAAGCAATTTGAACTTATTGAAACTTAAGCTAACAAACTATATAATGTTCCTGCTCAGTCTTCCCTAAGAGTATAAAGAATCTACTGCCTTACAAAATGCTTAAAGAATAGTTTTTATTCTCGTGCTATCCAAGAAGTGAGCATCTTGTTTGCTCAAAGCCTCAAATAACCATTTAATTGCTATTTTCCCCCTCATGTGATGCATCAGTCTATTATTTGTTGACCACTTACTTTTCAGGCTTGTGAATTGTTTTGTTGAGCCTGCACACAAGATAACAAGGCGGTCAATATCCGAGTTGGCTGATGTAGTTGGTATCCCGCGGATGTTGGTGGATATTCGTCATGGTTGTTTACCTTTATCCTTTTTCAATTACAATTTTACGGTTGCACTTGCGTTATTTGTGAAAAAGAAATCTCATGCCATGTCTGGTTTCTTGCCTATGTTATAGAGAGTTCTCACCAGAATCTTCCTTCGCTTCGTTTGGTCCGCATGGCTAGCACGAAGGTATACCGTGTTTCTCCCTACTTGTTTTTATGAACAATGGTATTAACATATTACCACTTTGCGCACATTTGTTTATCCATTTTTTTCTGATTTTTTTGCACAGTAGTAGTGATGAGGCTGTGTACTACTTTAAACTAAGAACCTTAATTTAACATCTTAGCTTGTATGATATCCGAAACTTTTATTGTCTTAAGATCTAGTGGTATCTCCTTCAACTTTAATCTTGGGATTTGGGAACTTGTTCACTCCTTTCTATTGCTACTAATAAGTTGTGCATTTATTTGCTCATCAATTTTTTTGAGGATTACATTTTATAGTGGGCTACTGATTGACATTTCTCATATATTCATTATGGGTTGTGGCGAGATTATTTTCTATATTTCTAGATCAGAAAACTTTTTTAAAATTGTTAATATGCTGATCTTAGATCATGTGTTAGAAGAAGGATTTGTTTTTAATTGATTTCAGAAAGTTGCTGATGAGTTTGATGTATTAGTAGCTTAATGCTTGTAGGTTGACTACAAGGCATTCACCTGTTGATGTAACACCTATATATAGGAATTTATTCATTATTCATTATTCATACAGGTCTATAGTGAAGGAAGTGAAAGATAGGCGAAAATATTGTGCACAGTGCACCTTGTAGGATCTAATTGAAAGGATTCTCGAAGCGTTCTTTGACCTTCTGAAGCTTTTAGACACAGAAGTATAATTAAATTTTTTTTCCCCTTATAACATGTCATGGTGCATTTTGGATAGTAAAAACTTTTTTTTAAAACATGGAATCCTGTTGCTAAGCATGCACAAAGTTAATAGGATTATAGGGTGATGGTGGCATCTGTTCATAATTTTGGGTTCAACATGGAATTTATAGGGAGAGGCCAATCAGATATACGTTCACAGTGGAATGTGGAATTTTGAGTGCAACATGGAATTTATAGGAAGAAGCCAATGAGATCTACATTCACGGTGAGATGTGGTTGCAAGTTGCAACACATGCCCAGTTTTGTGAAGAACTTCTGAATATTATGCTGAAATAATGCATTACTTATTTCAACTTTATCTATTAATATACTACACCTTCCTTTCTCTAAAACCTAGAACTTCCAAAAGAAAAGTGAAAATCTTGATATGTAACAAGGCGTGATACGTAACAAGGCGCTAGACTGACGTTGTTTTTGTACAATTGCTTACGTTCTTCAATAAATGACGTATAGACTATTCATGCAGTTCATTATCTATGACACTGTTCAGACATTTTGAAGAAAATGTGCTGAATGCTGTTCGAATGATTTTTGGTTTCTATGTCTTAAACACCTTTGGAAAATATACATATATGTACATCTATGCATATGTATACATATATGTACATATATGTATATATATATGCATATATACATATATGTACATATATGTGTACATATGCATATATGTATATATATGTATACATATATACATATATGTACATGTATACATATATATACATATGTATATAGATATATATACATATACATACATATGTACGTACACACACATACTTACATATACATATACATATGTATACATTTGTATATGTATGTGTATACATATGTATACATATGTAGACATTTGTATACATATGTAGACATATGTATACATATATATCTAATATCTATCTGTGTGTGTGTGTGTGTGTGTGTGCACACATATACATACATACATATATATACACACACCACACACACAGATATATATATATATATATATATATATACAATGGTGGATCATGAATCTTGGTTGGTTCTATATATATATATATATATTTCATGCTTTTAGCATATAATTGTTGATACTTGTTTGATATTGCACATGCTGGGGCCTGGGTTTACCTTGAAATTTTCAGACAAGTTAATGAGTCCATATGTTTCTGTTCAGGATCTTTTTAGGGCAGAGAAAATAGTAGTAAATAATTGCCTGATCAATTTCTCAAGCGGAATGTATGCTGCAGAAGAGCAGAAACCTCTCATCCCAATCCCCATTTTGTAGCGCTTGGTGTCTCTTCCTACTCACCGCTGCCGCTGCCACCTCTACCACAAGGTCCACAACTGACAACTCTCTCACATACACGCACGGCGTGCGTACACACTATTCCTCCTCTCTTTTTCACAACTCAATGCTGGTGAGCTCATTTCCATCTCCCTCCATCCATAATTCTCTTTGCGTCATTTCTGAACCTCAATACCACTCAACTTCCTCTCTTTTCCCTCTCCGGGTCAAGCACCAATTTGCGACCACCACCTCAGTCTGCTGCCACCGGCTTATTCTATCCTCAGTGGTATTGTCTGTTCTCTTCCAATCACCTCCTCTAACCTCTGTATCAACGCCAAGTGACCACCTAATGTTAATGCTTGACACTTATTGCTTATGTCATCATTCATCATTCTCCTAATTTCAGTTCACCCAACCGTTCTGCCCTCTCCTGAAGGTTCTCAGACCGTCTTTGGTGGACAATCTCCTAATTTCAGTTCACCCAACCGTTCTGCCCTCTCCTGAAGGTTCTCAGACCGTCTTTGGTGGACAAGCAATAACATAGTTATAATACTTTCGTTCTGCCCTCTCCTGAAGGTTCTCAGACCGTCTTTGGTGGACAAGCAATAACATAGTTATAATACTTTCATATTAGAAGTTGCAGGACACAGCAATTTTCCAGATCCTTATCATATCATAGCATGCATTGGAAAGGATGAAAATTTGACCAATTGCCACTTTGTCTAGAAGCTTATTGGGGTTGGAGGCTGAGCTGGATAATTTGTTCAGGGAGGTATACATCCTCAGATTTACTTTTGGTTGTTTCTGTTATGCTTGGTGTCCTATAATGAACCTGGTTTCCTACCATACGGAACTCATACTGTGTGTTTTTTATTTTTTTTATTGTCTATTATAGTCAATTAAAAACCTTCATGCACAGTGTCATGGATGTATTTTGGATAAGTTTCATTATTTTCCCTCCATTAAAGGTGTTATCGCTTTTACCAGTTGCTATATGTCTCCTTTCCTATTAAAGGCTCATTGAAGATTAGTTCTTTCTTTATTTTGTTTTTGATTGATTTGAATAATGATCTCAAACAACTTCAATCTGGAAGTTGAAAGATTTTTCGTATGAAGTATTGTGTCACATTTTATTATTGTTAAACTAAAAATGAGGTGCATGTTATTATGAGCCCTGTGGGTGAATTTTTCTGTTTCTAAGTAAGATTATTTCAGGAAAAGAAACTTGGAATTGATCCAAATTAATGGATTAAATCTCGAATAGAATGTTGGCATGATATATTCATGTGATTTCAGGATGCTCTTTCTACGCAGGCTGCTCTTTCTACCCACTTAGTATCAGTTCAAATTAATTGCAATATAAGCACTCCTTTCACTTAGTGATAGTTAATACTGCTCCATCTAGTATTTTTTTACCTCGCTGTTGTGTAGCACATGATAACTGCTTCAGTGACTTTTTTAGTCAAAATTTTCTATATATTTATAGACTCTTGTGGATGTTTCTTTAATATTTTCATGATTGATATCTATAATATAATATTCTTGCATTGTTTTTAGGCTTTAGACTGGTTAAAATCCAATTATTGGGAGCCTCAAAGAAGTGTAATTCCTGACGTTCGGAAGGAAGTAAGATTGAGACTACATGAGATGAGTTTTTATCTGAAAAATAAGCATGCAGAAAGGTCTAGTTCTTCACAAGGCAAGCCAAAACGTGAGTAAAGATTGTTGTGTAAGGAGCACTTTGCTTCTAGGAAGCGTTTAACCATCAAGTTTCATTGTTGACTAGTTAATTATATTTAAATCTATATTGTTCTTTTGTTGTTTGTTGTGGATACATGCTGTTTACATAATTTTAGGTCTGTAGTGGTAAGATGTGCTCTGGATTGAAAGAGTTACACTTAAGAACAATGTTTTAAATTTGATTATTGCTCTCATATCTTTTCTTGCTAATCTACGCGAAAGGGCTTTTAATATCACTCTCTACAGGCACTGGAAGTAAGATTCATTCTCTAAATGGCAAATACTATGGATCACAGTATATATGTACTTGCTTAAATGGCTTAAACCCGTGTTGGAAATTAGTGATTTGGGTTGTTAAGTAGGTTGAGATATCCTATCTAATGTTGCCCCTAGAATCACATGATTCCTATATTCAACTAGCCGGACAACAACTTAAGGTCGGGAAAGTCTGGCCTGAAGTATTTTAGGCGTCAAGTTATACTAGATGCAAAATGAGAAAGAATATCTAACGTGCTGTCGTAGTTCTAGAAAGAAGATGCATAAAAGCTGCGGGATGTCATAATAGATCATTGAGACTATTCTATGTTCATGGTTCCGACATGCTACATTTTTTCCGCTAGTTTTTTTAGGAGTTTCACTTTAAATTTTTTACTATATCAGAATGTAAACGGATGCTAGATGTGTTTGGTTTCATACTATCTTTATGTTAATCTTTCTGTTTTGATTTTCCATTTATTTGTGTTTGAAGGTCGTAAGCGGTCAGGAGTATTAATGAGATGCAACAACCTATCTTCACAGCTTGTTGGGAAACTGCAGGCCTCAAAATCTGATGGTACTGCAATTAATCTTTTGACCATATTTACCTATTAGAAAACAATATTATTCTAGAGTATCTGACATGGGACATCCACAATTTTTTCTTCAAGCATTCAGATGGCGTTATCGCAGTGAATCAGGACGTTTGACTCAGTTTCTGCAAAGCCATAGAGGATTCCTTTGTCCAAACACTAGTTGTGATCATGTTTTTGGATGTCAAAATCTTTACTAACTGATTTTATCTTGGAATTGTGTGCACAACACTTTCCTTGACAAGGAGATTGTTATAAATCATGATGTTATAAATCATGCTTTCATTCCTTTTTTTCGTGGAGAAGTGGGACATCCCCAGTAACATGTTTGCACTATCAAGCTTTTCTGTCCAGATTAACAAGTGGGGCCAGTCTCAGATTGAGGCTGCAATGCATCTTATTTAGGGGATTGGAGTCATGATGCCATATAGATTGGCTATCTGAGATGTGTCATATTAAATTTTGTAGCACAGTTTAATTTCTTTAGATTGGATTTTCTTAGATATGATAAATTAAATACTAATTTCATAACAGTATGATTAAACTGTAGTTGGTGCCTGAATTGCTGTTTCGTCGTTTGCATCAAATAAATGAACTTGAGAGGCTGATATTGCACCTTGAACTCACTATTTAAAGCTTTACCTTCATATCAAACTACATAAATATCTACTAGCAAGCAAGTTTTCTATACTTCGTAGATAAGCTTAGCACCATTATCTTTTTATGCTATATTTGCGACTGGTGTTCTAGCGTTTCTTGTTCACTGTTGACATCTTGATAAGCTTAAAATACATTCACAGCTTCTTTTTCATATTTACATTGAAAGAAGCCAAAGTAGTATCATTGGTGTGGATGCTGATAGACTATTTTTTGTGCAGTCTCCGACAAACGGCTTTCCAAGATAACAAAAAGAATCGCTCGGCTATACTCTTCATATCCCTCAGAAGTTGTAGCAGTGCTTTTGGAGTATTTCCATTTACAAGCGCCTGATTTCTCAAAGGGCACGGACATGGAATGCTCTGATGATTTGAATGTGGATGATTCAGGACCCCATTTAGAGACAGTGTTCGGTTTAAAGACAATAATTACCAAACTATCAAGTAAGACACCTGGGTTAATACTCAGCCTACTGAAGACACTCCTAGAAATGATAGAAGCCAAGAAATCCACTCAATCTGAGAAAGGTATTTATATGAATAATTCCCTCTTGAGCTTACCTGATGAGTCTCTTGGTCTTGTTACTCAATTGTATCCCACATAAGTTTTAGTTAACCATGCTATTTTCCTACTGAAATTTAGTGTGACCTGTTTAGAACAGTTTCATGTTTTTTGCCGTTAGTCAATATTTACAGCTTTCAATTTTCATGCAACTTGTTCTCTTCACATAGCTACGTACTTTTTCTCTTTGAGACCCTATTCAGTTCTTTGGATCTTTCTTCCAAAGCATTTCTTCAAACTTTTTTGACCTAAGCCGGTTTTACATTGAGAAAGAGAAAACAAGACACAGTTACTTTTGTTTCTTTTCCTCTCTGGGTTCTTTCTTTGAACTTTCTGGTCAACCAAATATAGTAATAATCTTATCTGTTTGGAAATCTATGACTATTCAAAGTGGCTAATTTTCAGCACTTCGTTTTTTCAGATGGATGCTGTTTTCTTTCATCAAAACACCAGAGCGAGATAGCTGACACCAATCGTCTCTGTTCTCTTGTTCACTGGCTTCTCATGCGACTGAAATCTTTAAAGGATTCTGGTAGAATAGGAATTATTGGCAAATCCCTCGAAACCTCAACAGACAAACATGCTCCTCCAAATGTTTCGCTAACAAAACTCCTTCACAAGATCCTGTCTCTATCAATTGTGGGCGACAATCACCTCTCAAGCTCAGTATTGCTTCTTGCTCAAATGATTGGCAACACTTCTTTAACTTTAAAACTGAAGAAGCTCCCTTTGATGGCAACGCAACACCAAGATTTCGAAGATGAATCTCCCTTTGAAAGTTCTGAGAAAATGCTTTTACGAGAGGAGGCATGTATTAAACAAGCAAAAGAGAAGCTGGAGCTTTTCAAGTCGCAATTAAGGAACCGAATTGCTACAAATTCAACAAAATCAAACGCAAGCGATCGAATGTGGAGCGTTGCTAAATCTTGGACTCCATGTCCAATTGGCATGGTACCTTGTTCATGCAAGCGATCGAATGTGGAGCGTTGCTAAATCTTGGACTCCATGTCCAATTGGCATGGTACCTTGTTCATTTAGTTCTACTGCAGTTCTTCCTGTTCAAATCTTGGACTCCATGTCCAATTGGCATGGTACCTTGTTCATTTAGTTCTACTGCAGTTCTTCCTGTTCTTGATGAGGTTGATGATATCTTAGACCCCGAAGACATTGAAACAGATACAGGTAATTTTGTGAATGGCCGTGTTTCTCCGAAGAGAGCATCTGGTGAAGCTGCTGTTGGCAGCGAAAGTGGCAGTAAAAGGCTAAGGATGACGAGAGAAGAACAAGAATTGGATTTTGCAGAGATATCGTCTCCTATGAAAGGTAGATTGTTGATCAATGGCATTTGGACTGAAGTCAGTGAAGAAGAGTTGCTTGATATTGAGTCCAATATCAGAATTTTCGCCAATTGACCGTAAAATTATATTGTAACATATATAATTATTTTGATAGGCAAATATCTATTTAATTTTTTATTTGGAAAGTTCTGTTTGGCTGTTGTGGTAGTAGGGTTAAAAAAAGGGACTTTCTAAGCCAGTTTCATTGTTTAGAAAAAAAAAAGGGAAATACTTGATCTCTGCTTGGTCTTCAATATTTTTGAATTCGTTCATTCTGTTTCTGAGATAAAAGTCAGGCGAAAATGTTATTAGAAAAGAAACTAATGAAACATCTTCGAGATTGAAAGGAGAAACCAAAAGTAAATTATATGCTTAAAGCGGCTAGAAATCCCAACAGGTAATAACAAAATAGGTGACTCATAGAAAATTCAACAATTGCAGCGTCGGTTAGTGTAATTATATGCCTTTCTGTTAGGGGAAATAAATCTTCCATTTTTAATTTCGAATAAGGTAGATTATATATATTTTTTGTCATCTACATTTTAAAGTAGTACTTATTATTCTTCAACTATTTCTTTTTTTTAATCCCTTCTTCTTGTGCCTTCATAGGCTTTAACGTTTATCATCCCTGAATTCACGAGGAAAAGGGAGGTTTTATTTGTAATTTATTCCTCTCGAATATCAATTTCAAAAAGCAACTAGTGTTAGTAAAACAGCAGTTTTATTAAACATAATAGATAAAGATTTTCTTTTTGAAATTTCTAGATGACAAAGTTATAAAACAATATAAACATAAAATATTTTTTTAATTTTTACCCTAACCCTTATTTTTAAAAATTGTTATTTAAAATTTTGTTTTTATTGGAAAAGGTTGTTTAGATATTAGTCCCTCATATCTTCCATATTAGTCCATCAATGGTTTTGAGCCGAAACATAAGTTGAGCGCCATTTTCCGAGAAGCCTTACAGAAAAATAGGAACTTCTAAGCAATTCCAATAGATTTGAGGGGCTATGTGGAATTCTTGAAGGACGAATATCCAATAGATTTAAATTTTTTTGGTTTTTTAGGAAATATCCAATAGATTTAAGGGGCTGTTTGGTTGGTTTCCTAAAAACCAAGAAAAGGAAATCGGTACAAGGAAATCAATAAAATAATATTTTTATCCATTTCCATCCCTAAAACTCACCACAACATCTAATAAAATATTATTTTTATCCTCCAACTCATCTCATTTCATCTCATTTCTTACCTTTAAAAATAAACCAAATACAAGAAATGTGTCACATCATCCAACTCATCACATCTCATTTTATCTCATTTTTAAAAATCACACACATCATCCAATAATATTGTGACAACTCATCTCATCTCATTAAACATTCATTTCCATCCATTTCCTCAAAAAAAAAAAACAAGAAATCAATTTCCTTAAGTACGTGTCACATCATCCAATAATATACCTCCAACTCATCTCATCTCATCTATTTTCTTATTTTTAAAAACGAACCAAACACAAACAACCTCAAAACATCATCCAATAATATACCTCCAATTCATTTCCTTATTTTTTTAACCAACCAAACAACCTCAAAACAAGTTTTTTTTAAAAATCACTCACATCATCCAATAATAAGGTAACAACTCATCTCATCTCATCTCCTATTCTATAATTTCCTTCTTTTTTAAGCCAACCAAATAACTTCAAAACCATTATAATAGGAAATAGGTTTCCTATTTTTTGATTTCCAGGTTTTTTTGCCCAAACGAACAGCCCCTAAAAAGAAATGTCCTATTTGAGTAAAACTCACTCTCCCGCTGGCGCGTGGCCATCATCTACAATTCTTCAGATCTTCTCCTCCTTAACAAAACGAAATCGATCCTCTCAAAAATGCCGATCTTCAAAAACCCTACCCCTAAATCCAAACTCACCATCCCCAAATCCGGATCCAAATCCCTCCTCCTCTCGATCTCCACCATCTCCATCGTCCTCCTCCTCCTCCTCTTCTCCTCCTCTTCAATCCCCACGTCTCGATTCTCGATCTCAAGCGATCTCGCCATGAGTTCTATAGGAATCGAGCAGAAGAACGATGAGACGTTGAAGTGGAAGGGGAAGAAGTTCTTGTATTGGGGGAATCGGATCGATTGCCCTGGTAAGCATTGCGATTCTTGCGCGGGGTTAGGGCATCAGGAGTCTAGCTTGCGGTGCGCTCTCGAGGAGGCCTTGTTTCTCAATAGGTTAGTTTTTTTTTATTTGGTTTGCGAAATTAGGCTTGTAATTATGTAGTGTGAAGTTCCTGCAGAGAAAGCTTATGCCTTTATATTTATTTGGATCATTTGAAGAACTGGCACATCACTAGGAGATAGCTTGAGATGAAGGGAACCAAAATGTCTATAAAACTCTGCCATTTAGTTAACGTCGAACATCACAATATCGGAATCACCCCTTTGGCTTAGCAGCAGACTAGTGCAGAATAAACACTGCCCATCGACATGACGACTTGCAATCTGTTAATGGGAGGAAGCTCAAATCTCTTATAAACCCCACATGGCTTCTTGCTTAGTCAATGTGGGGCTAAGTGGACCCTAACAGCTTTTAGCAGGTTGCAAAAAAAGATTTTTTTTGTTAAAGAAAATAGATGGGATCTTAACAAGATCCCAGCTAGTACCTAAAGATTTAATCCTATGGAAGGTCATGTACATGGTTAAATATTTGCACCACAATAAAGCAACGTACTTCACATAAACCATCTTATTATTAGGAACCCTCATATCAGCAATACATAGACATACTGTTGCAAAAAAAGAAATGTATGATGTTTTTTTCATTTGGAGAAAGAATGTACATTGTTATAGTGCGAACTGAAAACCCATTTATTGGAAATGTCTGATCGTTATTTTTTATTCAAATTTCATTTGTTCGGTTTGGTGAAAGTGGTATCAGCTGAAAGAACTCATTTCAACTGTAAGCAAGAAATTGCCACATCCGAACTTTTTCTACATCAAGAATAAAACGAGTGAACTGCAATCAAGATCTTGGGTTGGAATGTGCAACGAAGGCAATAAGTGGACTGGTTAGGAGTGATAGGATCATAGTCGAAGAAGAACAATGACTAGATGTAGGTGTTATTGAACACAGAGGGATTCATCAGAAAAGACACCATGGTTGTTATTTCAACCAAAGAGATGACTTTTATCATAAGTAATGATTTAAAATTTTCTTGTAGTTTTCCTGTAAATTTCAAGTTAAAAGGCTTTGTTGTTGTTAGGTACGCATTTTCACATTTTGCGAAGGATGATAAGGTTATTTGTTAAAGGACTATAAGTATGAAATATGTGTATGCTTGTGGATAAGAAGATTTTATTATGAAATATGACCAGTTAAGATCATAGGTGGAAATTTGAAGTGCATATATATTTCCTTCTTGTATTTATAAGAAAATTTTCTTTTTTAAGGATATGTATGGGTCTTCATAGGCACACTGTTTTCTCTCACTAGATATGGGATTAGCGGTCCTGATAAATGCTACATCAAGGTGTAGTTTCATTTAATTCCACACTATTTTCTCTCACCAGATACGGGATTAGCGGTCCTGATAAATGTTACGTCTGGGTGTAGTTTCATTTAATTCCATTTATTAGAGTGGTGGTTTTGCTGCTCGTGCTTATTTTGGTGGAATATTTAGTAGGTAATTTCTTATTTTTATCTCAATATGGTGGTTTTGCTGCTCGTGCTTATTTTGGTGGAATATTTAGTAGGTAATTTCTTATTTTTATCTCAATATTAATATTTTAGTGATGTATCTTATTTTGGTGGAATATTTAGTAGGTAATTTCTTATTTTTATCTCAATATTAATATTTTAGTGATGTATCTTTCTTGCCACATTTTAGTGTTAAAATAGAATTGGTGAAGGTCTAAAATAGAATTAAGGGTCAATATCAATATTCAACATTAAATTTACAAAAATAAAGTGCTAAAAAGTTCTAAAATTAGCATGTTAGTGTCACATTTAAATTTTCAGGGGAGTATTCTCACATTTGCATAATAAATATATTAAAGCGCAAATTTGAAAACTTCAATGTATATAAGTGCCGCAAAAAACAAGTGAGGGTATATAAGCGCGAAATAGGATAAATTATAAGGTGTTTCAAGTGCTGATTAGCCTTTATGTTATCCTGAAGTGACTTGAAATTGATAAATATTAGAAGTGCAATTTCACCAGATTTCCTTTCTAAATCCGAATCACAGTAAGTCCGTTGGCTCTTGATGCCAATTGACAAAGATACAACTATTAACGTAGGTTAGTGGAAGAAATTTCTTGTTGCCTTCCCCAAAAGTTTAGGTCAAAAGGTTTGGTTGTTGGCTGTGTCTGCATTTTCACAGTTTTTCAAGGATGATCGCTTAAGGTCATCTGTTAAAGGACTATAAGTTTAAAACATGATCAGTTAAGATCATTCTCTAGAGTTGTGGAAATTTGGAAGTACATAATTTTACCTTAATATATTTTTGAGGATGTGTACATGTCTGTCTAACTAGTTTGTTTCTTTCTCTAGCTATGAGCTTAAAGGTCATGGTAAATGTTACTTCTTGGTCTAGTTTCATTTAATTCAATTAATTAGACTTGTGGGTTTGCGGCTCATGCTTATTTTGGTGGAATATTTAGCAGGTGTATTATTTTTATCTCAATATTAATATCCCACTGATGTATCTTTCTTGCCACTTTTAGGGTCTTTGTGATGCCATCAAGAATGTGCATCAACCCAATACACAATAAGAAGGGAATTCTCCATCACTCAACTGACGGAAGTTCAGATGAAGGGTAGTCTCTTCTTCCCTTATGCATGGGTTGTGAATAATAAGTAAAAGTTTTCAATTTTGTACTTCTTAAATTTGCTTCTTGATGGAAATGATTCCATAATTGGTAGATCAAGTCTGTTGTCCATAACTTAAATTAGTTTGTTCTTTTGCTTTATGGCCAACTTGGTTAATTTGGATGTTTTAGGGGGAGTTTAGAAGTTCCTGGATTGATGCCAGGGATAAGTTACTGGAATTTGATTCAATATTTTCTTTGTGCATATCTTATTCTTCAGAAATTAATGCAATTCTCTATGGATTAATCATGTCAGGTCTACCTTCATAGCTTAGTTCTTCTCTTTTATAAGGTCTCTAAAGTGAAGTCCAGAGTCCACTCTTGTATAGCTGGTACTATAGGTTTTGTAGAAAGGTTTCTCATCAGTTATATGTGGGGAAGCCTGGTAAGAACTCACACAGGGAATCATTGGCATTGGTTTGTCACTGAATCTGCTGTGCGTGCACATTCATATTTACAAATACCCTTTTTAAAGAAAACAATGGACTTTTATTTTAAGTGTGTATTTCAAGAATTTCTAAAATTGTGATTAATTTTATGACACCAGAAATTGGTACTTGGTGGATGTGATTAAACAACATAACCAATAAGGTATGTTATGTTTTTATCATCTTTCTACTCATAATCTTCTCAGTAGGTTTAATGGCAAGGCTGCCCCTCTCTTACTTGTAGTTCCCTTAGATGGAAACTTAAAAATAACTCAAAGGGTTGATATCAAAAAACTTAAAAATAACTCAAAAGGGTTGATATCAAATTTGCTACTAAGGTTGTTGACCTTGATAATTTCATGAAAACTGCCATAGGGCCTTAACAATGTGAATTTATGCTCGATATCGAGACAATTTTATGATAAAATATTTGGATATAGATATAATGTCTCTGTTTAGTTCAGCACTCAGAACAGGCAGGATTCTTTTCATTATTTAGCCATGAAAATATTAGTTAGAATTTACCAACTGAGAGGATTTGGCAAGGAAAAGAATGCAGGAAGGGAGTTTGTGTCACCATGAAATTGATTCAGGGAAATAGATTGGTTATTAACAGGCAGAAGGTTGCATTTGCTAGAAATAGGTATTACACTAAAATTCTATAGTGCGTCAAAGGCATGGTGGGATTCAGCCAAATTATGGGTCTTATGAGAGGCTGGCACTTATAGGCGAACATCCTATTAATTCATCAAATGTATGTAATGCTACAAAAGTCCAAGGTTTTCAAGTTGATAGGCTGTCTTTTTGGACCTTTCTTCTCCTCACCTGTTATATTTCCTTTCTTCTTATTCTTCTTATTTTCCAGTTTTCTTTGAAGGAAGGTAAGCTTCATAGCTCCAACCTAGGTTAGCAAGCATTAGACCGCCGCTTACTAAGCGCTGGTTCTATTCCGGTCAAGCAACCAAAGCCGGGGACCTAGGTGGGAATAGTAAGACCTTCTTTCTTCTCCTCACCTGTTATATCTCCTTTCTTCTTATTCTTCTTATTTTCCAGTTTTCTTTTTTTTTTCCTTTTCTCTTCATCTTCTGCATCTGGCAACATATTGTAATAACACTACGTGATGTCTCCCACCACAACGCAAAGAAAAACAATTGCCATATTCAGTTTTTAGCACAGACCTTAATAACATTTCCAGCATGAAACTCTGAATTTTTCTGGTTGCTGAGTACAGAACCAATATCTTATGGACACTTCTGGCATAAAATTCCTAATCAAGGTTTTTATGTCTTATGTAAACTTCATAAACAACTTGTAAGTGCGATTAGGCAAGGTTATCCATCAAATGTGTGAACAAATTGTTTTTGCGCATCTATCCTCATATGGGCAGTTACATGCACCTTGTCTTGCAGGGTCTTTTTCCCCCCTTCTCCCAAGTAGCTTCTTAGCTTGGCCAACACTTTTAACTTCCTATTTGATTTAGAATGATGGTCAGTTAAACCTTCTGTGCAGATGGGCTGCAAGTTCTTGTACGATGGACTCTTTGTATGACATGGATCTCATTTCTGAAACCATACCTGTAATTCTGGACAATTCGAAGACATGGCATCGAGTAATATCAACAAGTATGAAGTTAGGAAAGATGGGGGTGGCACACGTGCAAGGTTTCAGCAAAGTCGACCTGAAAGACAGTAGTCTCTACTCAAATGTTTTATTAATAAACCGCACTGCAAGTCCTCTATCCTGGTAAAGTAGATGTAAAATTGAGTGCTTTCTTCATGCATTTTCAAGCGAGCAAGTTTTCTATCTGGATGAAAATGCTTTTATGGATGAAAGTGAATAATTTTGCTAGGTAAGCGCTTGTCTTGATCATGATAACCGTCCAGGTTTATGGAATGCAAGGATCGGAACAATCACAGTTCAGTTTTGCTCCCATATTCATTCCTCCCATCAATGGCAGCCAAAGAGCTAAGAGTTGCAGCAGATAAGGTAACGTCTCTCACCACAATTGTCCAGATCAAGTCAAAAGTTCAGTCCAAAAGTTGGTTTTCATTTGCATATTTTTACCTTGTAAGATAGCAACATTCCTATATCACTATGCCCTCGTGTTTTTCAATTGCCTGTTAATGTAATCTGATTTTTTTTCCAACGCTGAACTTCTGCTTTTGCAGACTGTTGCCTTGAGCTTTCTAATTTTCAGATTGAACAATTCTCTCTAGCAATTTGAACTTGTATGATAAAATATGTAATACTAGACTACTATGTAATCATGTATACAATGTTTTCTCTAATTCTAGGTAATAAACATATATAACGAGACACATATTTAAATTCTAATTTTCTGTAATACTTCCCTCCAGTTCATTCTAATTTCAAGTAATCATCTGCTTTACCTACACCTGTGATACCCTGACACGGCAATTTTGGCACCGTACCCATGTCGGGTGCGGTTTGGGTACGTTTCCACACCCAAACGGAAGGGACACGGGAGCAAATAAGCTCGGTGATCGAAGACGAGGTCGGGGAAGCGTCAATGAGTGTCGGGGAAGCTTCGACGAGGGTCAGGGAAGCTTCGACGGGGTCGGGGAAGCTTCGACGAGGGTTGGGGAAGCTTCGAATGGGAACAAGGTTTCGATAACACGATATTCTCGTGGCGGCGTCAGGAGAGAAATGGGATCTAGGGTTTTCAGTTAAATAGGGTTTGGGTTTAAGCACTCGTTTTGATTCAATTAAATAGGGTTTGGGTTTAAGCACCCGTTTTGATTCAGTTAAATAGGGTTTGGATTTGTTTATTTTCAGCACCCGTTTCGATAACGTAGTTATAATTTTAAGGAATTAGCTTATTTCTCAATTTGAAATTAAACATAGTAAAATTGTTATAGTTAATATAATTGTTTATATATATATATATGTATGTATATATATATATGTACATACATATATACATATATATACATCTATATATATATACATATGTACATACATATATACATATGTATATACATATACATATGTATATACATATATACATATGTATATACATATATACATATGTATATACATATATACATATGTATATACCTATATACATATGTATATACATATATCCCCATACCCTACTATTTACAAATTTACCATGTCCCGTACCTATGCAACCTTGACCTGCACCTTCAAAGACACCACCTTCTGTTTACTTTGAGTTTCCATTAACATCTGTAGATAATTCCAATAAGAAATGGAGATTTGTTTATTATTGATACTTTCTAGTGAGGAGTTTACATGGAATCTAGTAACATTTGGAAAACTTTTAATCTAAATGATTATGAACATAAAAGAGATCTATTTATTTCTAAAATGAGTACAGTGTTCCTGATTAAGTGAGAGGTGAACATGAAAAAAAGGGGCTCAAACTGATATTTTTTAGAGATTATGCGTACTAAATAGTAGTATTTACAAGTGACATTTGGTGTTGTGATTCATGGGTCTTGAAAACTATCTGAACAGATTAAAGAACTTCTTGGTGATTATGATGCCATACATGTACGCCGTGGGGATATTTTAAAGACGAGGAAAGATAGACATGGTGTTGAAAGGACTCTTCATCCTCATCTGGACAGAGATACACGACCTGAATTTATTCAACTGAGAATAGCAAAATGGATTCCGCCAGGACGTACTCTTTTCATTGCTTCAAATGAGAGATCACCTGGCTTCTTTTCGCCTCTATCTGCCAGGTATATCTTTTGCTGAAGTGACTTGCTAATTAGCAACTTTTCTGACCGAAAGAGGTAGAGGCCTGAGTTCCTTACATGTTTAGCACATGTCCTGATATACATTCAATACATCCCCCCACCTCCCCCCAAAAAAAAACTAAAAAAAAAAAAGGTTTTTAGTGTATTCATGAATCATACAAGTTTAGTCTAAGAGACCTCCAATTGCAACCGAAAAAAAAAGTTTGTGGACGCGATGTATTATTCATCATGACATATATGCCCTCTCTTCATTGACATGCTGCAGAGCGATGGCTGAGATCTTCTCCCATAGAAAATGAAATTTAATATTAGTCCTTTAAATGAGTAAGTACTGATATTCCTAACAAGGACATTTTTTTTCATGGGTCTCACTAGAAAAGTTCTTCCTTCCCCTTATATGCTCTGAGTTGAGTTCTGCAATTTGTTAGTGACCTATTGTTGTTGGCCTAGTCATATCATTCTTCTTATCTACCAACACTTCGATGCAGAGTTTGACCTTCATCTCAGTTCTGGTCAATTCTGTTTCTCATTCATGTGGTTTATTATCATGATACGTTTAATCCAATCCGTTCCAGCTATTTATAATTTTCTTTATGAAACTGCACTTTGTCTATTGCTTCATTGTATTAGGTTCCTTTTTTTTGTCTGACATGAAATGTGTTATGTTCTTCCCCTTTTGGGTTGCATGAGTTTAACCTTCATGACAAAATGATAGGTCTACCTGCACATGGCCTTCAGGGTTTTATGTCAAGCCCTTTGTTGTTCATATTGCCTCCACAATGAACTTGGAGGTGCATCAACTCATGTTTCCTACTCGATATACAGAAGGAACTGTGGACTCCTAGGGGACATTCTTTTGTATTGGGCCACTTTGGTTTTTTTCGTCTCTGATGAGAAATTCATTCCCTAGACTCGAATGTAGTTTAAATCGGAGGGTTGCTTCTTAGTTGGATGAGTTTAAACATCATTACGTAAACTGGGTTTACCTGCTTATAGACTAACCTTTTATGTGAAGTCCTTTATTCTTCATTGTTGCCTTTGCAACTAAGTTACATGGGTACGGGACCGATACGGGTGGGGGTATGGGTGCCGGACACGACACATTTGTAAAAGGTAGGGTACGGGGACACAGCTGAAATACGTGTTGAAAGCATAGTTCTGAACTTGATATGCAAACAACCGTTTGAAATTGTAGCTGAGAACTAAATACGTGCTGAAATGAACTCGATACTTATCCGAGAAACGTGCATGAATTAGCAGTCTTTGTCACGCCGCCGAAAACTGTAGCGTAAATTCAGAACTACGGGTTTACGCGACAGCCAACGCCCATGCACTAAGACAAGTCTCATGCACGAGTTAAGCTTGGCGGCTTTCGTATCAAACTATTTTTCTCCATATGAACTTGATGATGATATAAGTTCAGAGCTAATATATATATCCCAATGACTATAATATTATATATCTATAGTAATATATATATAAATATATATCCGTGACTATACAGACCCAGCATAGCTCAGCCGGTACAAAGCAGAGTATTGGTGTACTCAAAACAAGCAACATATTCGTATGTTAGGCCATGCACAATGCCAAAAGGGAGGTTTTCCCATATTAACGCCTCCTAACAACACACCACAACCAAAGTTCAGTGTATATACGTAGCTACGCCACATCTGAATTGTTTTTGAAAACGACGGGGTGAGCTAGGGCTCAGTAAGAACATTTCCACTAAAGTTTTTAGATATCTGTCAAAATAGTAATAATTTCCAAAAAAAAGTGAATTGTAAGTTTTGTGCCTGAAATCCGGATATAGTAAAATGTAGTCCGAGACAACACATTATTATTATTTTAAGAAAGAATACAACATTTTAGATTTCTTTCTTATGTGCAAACTAAATATACTGTCATATCTCCAGAATCAGACCTTTTGAAATCAAGATAAATATCGAGAAAGAAAACAAACTATTAAATTTTGTGCGAAACCAAAGGGTCACCGTTTTCTCAAAATTCACAATCAAATGTCAGAATCTCAAATATCGATGAGTTCATATAATGCAAGAATTACCCATAGGTCACACTAAGGCTATGAATATTACAGCCCAGTAACATGCAAATGCGTAAAATGCATCATAGAACAGATAATTATTAGAAATAGAACGCACCTAACATTGTCATATGTTACCAGCCAGATCAAAAATGCCTAAAAGGGCCAGAACATATTTTAGAAGGGCCAGATTCAGAAGTGCTATATAAAGGTGCATTCATCATATGATAGGCACATACAAAACTCTCTATAGTAGACTTTCTGAGGGTTTTAAAAACATCGAGAATCATTTTCAAATCAGAAATACCTCAATTATCAGAGTCAAATACTTCGGATCAAATGGACGAGTGTAAAAACTCATTACCTCAATTAAAACAGTTTATATAATTCACTTTTATTATTTGTTTCAAATGCCAAGTTATAGAAATTTCTTAAATTCATTAAACCGTTGAAACACCTTCAAAACACTTCCTTCTGCAATAGCTTCCAAATAAAACAATATTCATAATTATTTGAGTTCCGATGAGAACCAAAGTCAGTTGTTGCATCTTATATAAAATTAAAGTTACTTTTAATATTTCGTGCGAATCAAAATCATACTATTGGTTAGATCACAACAAAAAAGTTCGAACTAATGTGCATGATAAATAATAGATTAATTATTTTTCAAGCACAAGATCATTCAAATATATAATGCTCATGCAATTTATACTTACAAAAATACTAGTGAGAAATGAACTCACCGTTTGAGTTTCTCAGAATGTGATCTCTCTCACTATCAACCAGATCCTATAATATCAAGATATAAGACTAATATTAATTCAAGATAAATATATATTATATGTTAATTGCTCTATAATCTAGGTCGAAACAGTGACAAATATATTCAAATAGAAATGGAACTCACAAATAAGGTTCACGTAGGCTTATTACTAATTTACACTATCTATAATAATTTTTATAGAACTCCTAAACTAATTTAGGATCTATTAACAAATTATGACATGAACAGGGGGCTGCAAATAATTTTCTAGACATGTTTAGAACCTCTGTTTGCAATTTATGGAATAACAGGGTTCTAAAAACAATTTATCCTTGCCTATTTAGGATATAAATTTTCTCAATCATCTGTTCACAGTCCTTGAAGGTTTCAGGGGCTTAGACTGAATTTTCCCCAGTTAAAACCTACATTCTCTTATTAAGATGGGTTTTAAAGTAAATTCCAGTCAACTCAAGTGTCTAGGCACAGTTTTACTGCTCCATTTTCTCACCTCCAGATCCAACTCTTCTTCCTCCTCCTTTTTTTTCCTTTTTTTCTGTTGCAGCTCTAAGGTTGCGCCCCACTATCCTCCATAGTTGCCAGAGGTTATCTCATGGTGATGGCTGATGGGGACTCGCCGACGGTTAAGTTTGGCCAGCTGCGAAATCCTCCATAGAAAGGTTTTTTTCCTCCTTGAAGAACTCAACTATGCTCCCTATCCTTATTTGATCACATAGGGTGGTCGGATAACTACGGGCCTTATGGGGACCAAGGGTTGCCATCAGCGAGGTCCACATCAGAGCTATATTTAGAATTTTTTTCCCTCTTTTCGCAATTTAACACACAAATTTCACAAAATCAAAACCATTTTCCCACATCATTCATTTGATCCAATTTCATCATAAAACTAAACCTGCAAGATGGGAATTAACTATACCTCAGTCAATTAGGGAAAGGTTTGAGGATATATGAGTCTTCTTCCTCTTTTGCTCTTTCTCCTTCCATAATTCACCTTGGTGTCCAACTAGCAGCTTAACAAGACGAGAGTGAGGAAAAAGTTTGGAGAGAAGAGGATTGAAGCTGGTTTTATATGGTTCAATTTTTTTCGTCCATGAATGGGTGAAAGCAATACACGTTCCCTTGCCAACTTTAAGCCTCCAACTGTTTAGCACCAGCAAAGCTCATGAGAGTTATAAACTTGACAGTTTGGGGTTTATGAAATTTACAAAAAGAACCCTAATCAATATTTCGATTACACATCTTTATTTTCTTAGAACTTGTGATTTCTTAATTTATTTAGGGCTATTACACTCTCTCCTAATAAAAAGTTTCGTTCTCAAAATTTAACATACCTTAATTCTCAAAGAGCTCTAGATACTTTTATCGCATGGAATCCTCCATTTCCCATAGCTTCTTTTTCTGAATGATTCTTTCATTGTACTTTTATATATGGGATAGTTAGTCATCGAATACTTGCTCTTTATAAACCACGATACGTTTTGGTTTCTCTTTATAAGTCAAGTCTGGCTTGAGGTCCAATGGAGACAACTGAACGATCTCATTTGGATCTCGGATGAACTTTCAGAGCATTGATACATGAAATATATCGTGTACTCCATATAGAGATGGTGGTAAGGCTACCTATACGCCACTTGACTAACTCGCTCTAAAATTTCAGAAGGACCAATGATTCTCAGGCTCAACTTCCCTTGGATTCAACACCTTTTCACTCCGCGGGTAGAAGAAACTTTCAAGGATACATATCACCAATCTAAAATTCTAATTCTCTTCTTTGATCAACATAACTTTTCTGACGGCTTTTTCCAGTGCAAAGATGTTCTCTAATTAATTGAATTTTGTTAATTGCTTGTTGCACTAATTCTGGTCCAAAAAGTTCTCTTTCTCCAATGTCGTCCTAATGAATAGGATACATGCACTAACCGTCTTCCTGATTTTCGATCGAAGCCCTACTTCAAAGCGACGAGCTCTATCCTCCTTACTCAATAAGTGAGTAGCAAATTTTGATAGATAAATTCACTCATATTTAGCTGCTATCTTATCACCTTGTTCTTGTTTTCGGAACTCTTATTCCTTCTACTTGCGAATGATTGAGGGTCTTTTTAAATTCATCCCATGATACCTTGTACGCCTTTCTCCCAAACTTCTTATCTGTATTTG